GACTTCTCCTTTAATGAATGTCCGTTATTTAGGTTAGGATCCATCTTTAAGGTCTCAGTCAGGCCACATCTGGTTGTTTCGGTAAACTGACTCAGAGGGGGGCCAATAAAAGGTGAGCTACAACCAAACAGGAGCAGGTGCGTTGCCATGGCAGCAGGGTATGATGCTACCCATGGAGGCGGCCATTTAATGGGTTGGGCTCCTTTGGCAGAGATCATGTTGGGAAAGTTTATAGCTTGTATTTGCTTCAAACAGCTTATTGTTCTTCTCCCGTGACTTGATGTGATGCGGCGCCGCCACATCTCCTCCTCCTGATGGATCCACGCTCCGTTAGACTTTCATTCCAGACCTTCCAAACATGCTGTGACCAGGAGCCAACATGGCTGACGTTCAGAACCAGGAGCCGACCCATTTAACACCTGCTCCTCATTGTGACACATGGAGTCATTTTAAAATGAGTTCACTGCCAAATATAAAATGCAACCATGAAAAAAACAAAAAAACATTTTTATTGAATAGATTTAAAATTTGATCCATTTCAGTAACTTCATGAATAACTGATAAATTATTGAACTGATTTACCCAAGAAGATGTTTTCAGGCCATTAATTCTGTTAATAAAACATTTAAGAATAAATATTACATCAAAAACCATTTTAAATGCAGGAATGAGACCATTTTATGCATTATAAGGAATTTAGTTGTTATAAAGCTGCTGCTACGATGCGGATGCTGCACCAGTCTGTTGTGGTGGAGAGAGCAGAACCGATTTTTCTGGGTCCGTCTATGTTCCTACCTTCACCTGCGGTCATGAGATCTGGATCATGACTGGTTGAACAGTTGGAGGGACAATGTGTCCCTGCTGGTCCTGGAGCTCCTCAGGAGGAGCTGGAGGAGGTGTCTGGGGAGAAGGAAGTCTAGCAGGCTCTCCTGAGCCTGCGGCACTCATTGTTTTATTTCTAGTAATTCAGGAAAATGGGTCAGATATTATTATTGAATGAAGACATTAATGAGAAGATGGTTGGACAGATGGAGAGGACTGAACGAACACCATCCCAACCAGCCTCCAGGTGAGTGAGATGCTTTCCCAGTAATAAAACCTGGATCATCGGTGATTGGAAGGAACTTCTAAACCAGAAGAGAAGAACCTTCAGGAGGGAAGACAGGGAAATACTGAGGAAAACATGGAGCTGCTCCTCCCACCTGTCTGTCCCTATAAGACAGATTAAGAGGAAACTGGAGAGACTGAATAAGGCACCATATACCAGGTCCAGGTGGTCCCGATGGTCCAGATGGACCAGGTGGTCCCGATGGTCCAGATGGTCCAGGTGGTCCAGATGGTCCAGTTGGTCC